CGGGAGCTGGGGCCGCGGGGAGGGGGCCAGAGCCCCGAGCCGGCGCCGGCGGAGGCGGCCGCAGGTCTGACTCTCCTTCCCCAGCTGGTCAGCCACGCAAGGCAGGGAAGCCCCTCGGAGGGGCGGGCAGCGCCCCCCAAGCCTGCAGGGAGGGCCGATGCGGGGCGCCCGGCTCTGCCCGGCGAGCTCGGTTCTAGCCCGGACAAAGGGCTCCGCGGCGCCCCGGCCGCGTTCCCGGGGACGCGAACTGCGGCGCCCGAGCGCCCGGGTCCTGGCGCGGCTCCCCGATTGCAGAGCGCGGCGCGGAGCGGCGCCGCGGACGAGCCCGGCGCCACCTGGCCCCGGCCTGCCCACCTGCCCGGCCGCCCTCGCCCGGGCCCCGTTACCTGGGTTTTCCCCGGCGTCCGCGGAGGAGGTGGCCGAGGAGTCGGTGAGGACGCTGGGGTCACTCTGCGAGCGGCCCCGCGACACGAGGCAGCCGCTCCCGTCCTCGGACGCGGCCATGGGCCTGGCCGGCGCGGGGGCAAGTTGGAGGAAGGCGCGTGCAATCAGAGCATCCGAGGCGGCCAAGGTCACAGGCGAGGGGGCTGGAGGGGGCGTCTTTTTAAAAAGGAAAATCAAAAGGGACAGGGAGAGGGAAGGAGCCGGGGGGACAACGCCAGGCTGGCTTCAGGGCGGTTAGACAATAGCCTGGCGGCTGCAGCCAGGCGCATCCCGGCGCGCGCGGCCTCGCTCTGCTATTTATTCGTGTTTATTCTCATTCTTCAGTCTATATTCCAGGGGAAAAAAAAAGTTGAACCAGGAAATAAAAACTTTTTCTTGTCAGTGTTTATTGCGTGCTTGGGGCAGGGGGTGATGTCCAGGAATTTCTGGGGGCGCTCCCGCCCCCCACCCACCCCCCACCCCCCCCTGGAAAAAAAGGGGAAAAAAGGAAAATCTTTGCTCTTGCAATTGCTTTAATCTGAAAGCTGTTCTTGGAGCATCTGTTGGAAAACATTAGGATTCTCCCATCATGCCACGCGAGAGGAGCATGACGTCACGAGAGAAGGGGCTGAGAGCCAGCGTGGTGATGGGGAGGGGTCTCAATACCTGGGCGCCTGCCTCCTGCCGCCTGCGTCCTGCCCAGGAGAGGTGGGGGCCCCGATCCTGAGTTATGCACTGCCCACCCACCCCCACCCCCACCCCCACCCCAGCAGGGCTCTAGAAACAAGAAGGCTCCCAGTCCTACTTCCTCCCCTCCCCAGCAGGAGGGGAGGAGACCCTGAGGGTGCCTCCCTTGGAGGGAGGGCCTAATCTCCCCCGCAGCTCCAGGCAGCTGGTTTCCCTGGCCCGCCCTCCCTTAGGGATATGGAAGGCCAGTAGGTCCTGCTTCCGAGACTCCGCCACGGTGGGGTGGGGGGTGGAGGGGGTGCCCTCCGGAGTTTTACCCCTGCCAGCCCTGCTTCCTCCAGGCCCTCGGCCTCCCTTGCCTGGGAGGAGACAGGCAGGAGGGGGTACCTGGTGCCTTCCAGGGGGGGGGGGGCTTCCCCCAGATGCCTTGATGGAGTTGATGGGCCAGACAATGGAGGTGACACCCCCCCCCAAGGGCTCCCACTTACAGAGGTGTCCTCCAAAGTGCTAATGAGCAATTCTCACCAATCCCAGATAGTGTGTGTGGAGGTGGGGGGGGGGGGGCAGCTCTCCTCTAAGGCATGAGGGTAATGAAAAAAAAAAAGGAAAGCCCAGTAAAGGCAGAGAGAAGCATGGGGTGTGGCCCATCACCAGGTCTGGGAAGGTTCCCAGAGGAGAGGGCATTTCACCAGATGCCCGGATGGCAGGGCCACGGGGGGGGGGGGGGGACGGGGGGACACCGTTCCCACCCAAGACTTGCTGCAGGGCAGAGGTCCAGTCTCAGCCCCTAGACAGCTCTAGGGGCTTCCCCACTCCAGGGGATGAAACTGAGGTCAGAGGAGGAGGTCAGAGGGGTTCCACAGCCAGTGACAGCAGCACAGGGACGGGGACCTTCCGGAGGGCTGTTCCTCTGGATTTGGCCAGCACCTAAAGCAGGGCTGGGGCGTAGGGGGAGCACACTGGCAATGCTGGATGAACCCCAACGAAGGGCCAAGGACAGAACCGAACCATGATGTGGGGAAATAACATGGATACTCACTTCACGCACAGCTTTGGGCTGTCAGCAGCAGGTGCCTCCAGAGAAAACATTCATTCACTCATTCATTCATTCATTCATTCATTCATTCATCATTCAAATATTCCAGAGTCTAGTGCATGCTGGGTACCACATCGGCATTAGGGATCCAACAGTGGACAAATGCAGAAACACCCCCCACCATGGGTCTTCCAGGATTGCAGGGGAGGGTAGAGCTGAGAACTGTCACCGATAAACCAAGAGATGACCCCCAAAACAGTTACGCCTGATGTTACCATGAAACAAAGAGGAAACTGGTAGGACATCTTACCAAACACTTTTTATCCACATAAAAAAAAGTATCTGCGGATACTTTTTATCCGCAGATGGTGATGCGCCCAGCTCCGGGCTGAGCGCTTTACTCCAAGGCATCGCCTCCTCCTCACGACGCCCGAGGAGGTGAGAGCAACTATTGTCCCCACCTTAGACATGCGGGCAAGTCACAGGGGTGAGTGGCCTGCCAGGAAGCCAGGACTGACAGGGCCAGGGCTTCTCGTCCAAGGTCTCTACGAGTGGGTCCTCAGGCAGCCCCCTGGAGAGCCGGGCTGAGTCCTGGCCCCAGGGGCAGGCTTGCGGAACCCCTACCAGGCACACCTTCAGCTCCTCCCTCATGGAGACAGGAAGCCTGTAGCTGGTCCAGCCGGCAGCAGGTGCCTCGATGGACCAGCCCGGGGCCGGGGAGGATGGAAGCCCAGGGGCGTGTCCCGGAGAAGAGAAGAAAGGGCTGTTCCAGCTACGTGCCGTCCACCCTCCCACTTTTCGGACTGGCCTGCTCAGAACCTGTGCTGCCACTGACTTCAGATTTTTCCTTAAATCAACTCTTTGCACCTACATGCATTTTAAGGGAAACCATCGCCACAGCGACAGAGGTGGCCCCTCTGTTGTCTGCGGGAAGGACTATGGTGCCGACTGGGTCGTGACAGCCAGGTCCCCTGCGGGCTCCAGCTTCGCTGAAAAGGGGGATGAGCAATGGTAGGAGAGGCATTCAGACACTCGGGCCCCAGAGATGTTCTTAATGTTACCAGAAGGACAAAGAATGGAAAGAATTTTCTACGGAAGCCAATGTCCGTCCGTGCACCACCTACAATAATTTCTGACCCCTTCAGACGCTCTTTACTGCAGTGCCACTCAGCTGCCCTACCAAACCGTAAGGGCAGGACTTCAAAGCCTATGAGGGCACCTGGGTGGCTCGTCGGGTGAGCGTCGGCTCTTGCTTTCGGCTCAGGTCATGATCTCACAGTTCATGGGTTCGGGCCCCGCGTCGGGCTCTGCGTGGACAGTGTGGAGCCTGCTGGGGAATCTCTTTCTCTCCTTCTCTCTTTGCCCCGCCCCTGCTCTCTCTCTCTCTCTCTCTCTCTCTCTCTCAAAATAAATAAACTTTTTAAAAATTTTAGTTGAAAAAAAAAAAAAAGCGTATGAAAGGAAGCAGCTTGGCATTTGCTCCAGGAGTAGAGAGGGAGAAGACAAGACTGACAACCAAGATTCAGTTTCTTAAAAAATATGCTTTAGCAAAATATTGTGATTTGTCAGAGCTGGGTAGACACGCAGCTTGTCATTATATTTTTGTCTGGCTTTGCAATGTTCCATGATTAAAAAAAAAAAAAGCTTTAAATTAAAAAAACAGAAATGTGACCCCTGCTACCGGTCAATAGAGACTAGACCGCTGGGTACATGCCTTCGGGGGAGACCTTGGCCTTCCAAGGCATTCAGCCCCAGAGCAGGACAGGCCGGCAGGAGGATCCCGCCCACGGGGGGCAGAGGGCAGCTGTCGGCACAAGGTCCCAGCCTCGAGAATGTCCTCCAGGGGTCTTTGTGTAAGTTACCAACCATCCCTCCCTGCAGCAAGATCCCCGTAAGCCCACTCTGGAAGCCTTACAGGAACCAACAGGGCTGCATAACAGATAAACAACCCAAATATCCATCAACTGACATATGGATACATAAAATGTGGCATATCCATCCACTGTAACATTATTCAGTCACGAAAAGGAATAAAATACCGAACCCGCTGTAATACGAATGGACCCGGAAACAGTATTCCAAGGGGAAAAAGAGAATCCCAACACGAAGGGCTACGTATTGTATGATTCCGTGTAAGTGACGCGTCTGCAGACAAAGAGGCAGAGTAGTGATGCCTCAGGCTGGAAGCTTGGGGCGGGGGTAGGGAAGAGCTGCTCAGGAGTTTGACGGTCCTTTTGGGGGTGATAGAAACACTTCACGTGTTCTAAAATTAGGTTATGGTGAGGGTTTCACAACTGGAAATTTCAAAAACCGGTGAGCTTTTTGGCATGCTCGGTATTTCAATGAAGCTGCTTAAAAAAATAGAACGCGACGGAAACAGCAACACAGCACACGAAGGGACCCAGGCAGAGCTTTGGATGTGAAGGCAGACTGGGTTCACCTCTCACGTCTGCAGGGTGGGATCCTACTTAAAACCCCTCCTGTCCCTGCCTGGGGCTTCAAATCAGGCTGGAGCCCTCGCCGCGCAATCCCACCCACACGCGTCTCTAGAGTTGGTTCTATTCTCGCACAGTGTGCAGGGCAACGTCTATTTTGTGCCAAAAGGCATGACTCTCCCAGAACACCGCAGTGAACAAAATAGGATAGGTCCTCGGCTTCGTGGAGCTCGTGGTCTCGAGAACACAGGACAACCACCAAGAGGTCAAGTCAATCCGCTGATGTCCACGGGCCCCGCGCCGGGGGTGCCTCGCCGGGGCAGGGAGGAGCCTGGGCTGAGAAAGCGACGCTCTTCCTGAAGCTAAAGACTCAGTACAGATGAAGCAGACGAGTCAGGAGGCAGCGGGACGCAGGCCCAGGGACCTGTCTGGGCAGAGGCCAGGAGGGGGGAGCAGCATGGGGCTCTGAAGTCCCCGCAGGAGGCCTTGTGAGGGGCCAGGGCGTGAGCCAGGCTGCAGACACGGGCGGGACACAGACCACGCATGCAGTGTTCCGTGCGGTTCCTCCCGAGTCTGGATTTTGTTCCAAGGACGGTGACAAGCGGCCGGTGGCAGAAGTGAGTCCCCAGAAGATCCCCCCCCCAGCTGCTGATGGAGAAGGGACCTCAGCACCCGGGGATGGACCGGGAGGCCGGCAACCATCCGGGCGGGCCTGAGGGTGCTGAGTCTGGGTCCAGCGTGCTGCACGACTGGCCCCAGCGAGTTGGCAAAGGAGGGGCTGTGGCAGGATGGGACGAGGGGAGCCACAGGTCACGGCCAGATTGTTGCTTTCTGGCGACTAACTGGTTATGGGGCTGCAGGGACGTCAAGTCTGATCCTGACAACGAGGTGGGCATTATGCTCTTTCCTGGGCAGGGAGGGCCGCAGAAGGGTCAGGATGGGACAGGAGGACAAGGAACCCCTTTTGGACACACTGCATTAGACACGACGTCGGAAGAGCCTGCGGCCTTGGCTCAACACCCACGGGACCCCCGGATACCGTCTGTCCCCTTACGTGGGGACAATGAAAGGACATGAGCTCCGGCATCTTCGCTCATCTTAGAAGGAGCATGGTGGTCACTCCTGCCCGGCCGTCCCGTGACACTCACTCCAGGGACCAAGTGACAAGTGCTGAGCCAAGCGTCTCACAAGACCCCCTCCTCCGTCAAGGCTTCAGCTCTGGCTGCTCCGCTTCTGCAGACCTCACTCCCTGACGACCAAACACAGTGAGAAGCCACCCGGAGTGCACAACGGCGGGATCGTGACTTACAGCCGGCCACCAACATAAGGCTGCAGGCGCTTAGACGGTCATTCCGGGGTGTGGTTTCCTTCTGCGAGAGCCCACAGACTTCTTCCCCAGGTCCCTCGTGGTTCGAGGACCGCCGGAGAGCTGATGGCCCTGGAAACTGGGCTGCTAGGATTTCAGCGCCATGAGTTCGAGGATCTTTGTCAAATCTGCTCACCCGAGAATGCGCCTGGCACACCGTGGTGCCCAGGAAACAAATACGTGTTGGTTGAACCAACTCACGGATGCACACGTGGGTGTGAGGTGCCTACCCCGGGGCAGAGGGCTCACCTCCCCCATGGCCCAGGTCAACAGGAACAGAATTCTCTCTCTCTCTGACTGGCATATTTCGCAAATGGCAAGATTTCACTCACATGGGGAATTTAAGAAACAAACGAACAAAAGAAAAAAAAAAAGAGACAAACCAAGAAACAGACTCTTAACTACTGAGAAGGAACTAATGGTCACCAGAGGGGAGGTGGGTAGGGTGCGGGGGAAACAGGTGATGGGGAGGGAGGAGCACACTTGTCATGAGGAGCACCGGCTGTGGTACAGAATTGTCCAATCACTGTATCTACGCCTGAAACTAACGTAACGCTGGATGTTAAAGACACTGGAACAGGAACAGAATTACACCAGCAAACTCAATCTCTTGCAAATCCCTGCTCAAGCTGCCATCTCTGTCCAAGCTCTTAGGGAACAAACAGAAGAGGGACAAGAGGGCAAACCCCAGGGTGGGGACTGGAGGGCCAAGGGGACGGAGGGACCAGACACAGCTCCCCAGCAGAGCCTGGCGGTGAGGAGGGGAGCCGCGCCCTCTGCTGGCCTCTGCAGAAACTGCGTCCAACCCGTCACCCTGGGAGCCTCCTGGACCTGGCTTGGGGACCCAGCCTTGCACTTTGGTTTCTTCTGCCCTTGGGCCACGTCCTTGATGGGGTCTCTACCTATGGCCGTACCCATAAGGCTGCCCAGGGTGGTACTTCAGGCGATGCCAGGTAGGGCTCTTTGTAAAACACAAGCAAACTCTCTTCAAGCAAAACTCTGTTTCACCAACCGTGCTCTCCATACGGCAAGGCACCGGCAGCCAGAGCTGGCCTGAAAAACGTGCTGTGGGAGACCCCGACCTCCTCTGATGCCCCCAGCCCTCCTCGGAGTGCTGTCCACCCGCAGGCTCTCTAGTGAAGCGCTTCTGGGCAGGAGCTGAAGACCTGGGCGTGAGACAGGGTTCGATCGCTTCCTCTGTGTGGCCCTCTGTGCCCGGTGTCCAAGTGAGGGAAGGGACAGCCTCGCCTGAGGGTCTGGGCTTTCGGCCCAGCGCCGAGCACACAGGACGCGTCTCCATGTGCCAGGGGCGATCAGCACAAAGTGTCTTCCGGTGCAAGACAATTTGTACACGCAGTGGGTCAGGGAAGGGCATAAAAGCTGGCGGTGATGGATCTGGGGCCGGAAGCACAACCAGGGGAGAGAAGCGAGCACTCCCCGCAGGAAAGAGAAACCAGCCACCGTGGGCTCTGGCTAACCTGGGTCAGGGGTGTGTGGTCAGCTCAAAGCCATAAACCTCAGGTGACCTCTTCCCCCATCCTCCTCTGTACGTCCGACTCTGACGTAGTTCCCTCGGTGCGTGTGTTTGGGGGGCGCGGCCCTTCTCTGCAGCTAATGAACGCACAGGGGCTGACGTCTGAGGCCTCCAGGAAATACTGGTACACAACCGGGGCCACTTACAGAAAAGGCGTTTGTTGTCGTGGCCACTGCTGAGAGCTGGGTTCCTGCTTCCTGCCTCGGTGCGTCCTGTGGGGTCTGCACCGCAGCGGCCGACCCGCGACCCTGCAGGACCACACGTGCCCGCGGAACGCCCGCCACTGCAGACGGAGACCTCGGACCGCCTCCCCCCCAGATCTCTCGTGGAGGAAGCAAACATCCTACAGTTTCTGCCATTGTTACTGGGTGTTCCCTTACTTCATACCCTCAGTATGTGCCAGAGAGCAGTCTAAGGGCTTTATGATTATTAACACGGCTGGTGCTAAAAATGACCACATAGGGGAGATCCCAGCACATCCCCATTTTGCAAGTGGGATGCAAAGCGCTTACTTAGTACTTGGCCCGGATAACAGAGGCAGGATCTGAGCCCAGGTCCTCCGCTCTGGAGCTCAGGCTGTTACCACATCAAACATAGCCTGGGAGGGACAGGCAGGGACTTCCTGCTTTCTGGATCCCCCGAAAGCCACCGACTTGGTGCTGATGCTGATGACCGAAGATTTAACGGCAGCATTTTTGCAACCATACGGCTTCGCGAGAACCTGACATGCACGCTTCACAATCCTGTGAGGCTGGCATAACTGTCCTTTTTTTACAAACCACGAAGGGGGTGTGCGACTTACTAAGGGTCCCAGAGCGAACAAATGACAGCAACAGGACAGGAAAGGACCCCTACCATCTTTCCACTGTACTAGCCCATGCCTGATGCCCCCCCATCCCACCCAATCACCCACCAGCAACACCAGCTTACAACGAAGCCATGTGCTTGCAGAAGCACACACAGAATGTGACCCCCCTCCTGGCCGTGTCGGACTTGCCAAGGGGGACAGCAAACGCTGGGGGCAAGGGGGCTGGCTGCCTCTGCCGGGATGAAAAATGCCACACCCCAGCCACCCAGATTCCCCAATCATCTTCTCTACGGGGACCCAAGTACACAGGAAGGTGTGAACGAGGCACATATACTGAAAAGAACCCAATGTCTCTCGAAGCCGAATGGCTGACCCAGGACATGTCCGAACTGGGGAATGTTACACGGCGGCTTTTTTAAAGTGAAAGAAATCTAGGTATTCGAACATCCCTGGAACTCTATTACTTTCCAGGCAGGTGGCTACATTGCAGAATAATGCAAGGATGCCCGAATCACTCACGCCAACACACATACGCCCAGGCACCATACGTCGTCCACAGGCTCCTATCACCATGAGCGCACGGACACGGGATTCTGGGCTGCTCTAGGAGAGGGGGGTCCCCCACACCCCCCACGAGAGACGCTTTCATTTCTTTCAGAAGCAGGAGATCGTGAAACGTCTGCAGGATTTATAACGTTAAAGAAGAGGGGGAGTCTGTACTTCTGTCCTGCGATCGTGCCCGTAGCCTGAGCTGTCAGCCCGTCTCACCCTTTTCCTTCTAAGAAAAGGTAATTCGTGTTTAAAGAATGGTCTTTGTCACCCAAACACTCAATCCTTCCTCCAACAGAATGTGTACATTTTAATATGTTTACCAGATTTATATGCTAAAGAGACATGTTTGTCTTCCCACAGGAGACGGCAGAGCCGGGCTCATTGACCGAAACCAGAGCACGGATTTATGTCACCAACAGCTTGTCGCAGCAACAGCAGACCAAGTGCTTTACGGTGTAACAGTTCAAACACGGCATCGAGCCCGATCTATAAATTACAGAAAATCTATAGCACTAGGTTTATGGGCAGTGCTTTAAAAATACATCATAAGTCCTGTAGCTGCGGTGAGAATCCCAAGAATCCACTTGCACAAACCCATAAATAACGCTGGCTCCGTCTGTATTCTCAGAGAAGCCGTGGTCTCTTTCAGAACCCGCCGTTCACCACAACGGACGTGTGCCGTAAAGCTGGTGGGTCTACGGGACTCCGTATTTGGGGGAGCCATCGTTCAGGCAACCAGATTCGGGAGCCCCCCCGGCAGGCTCCAGTCTGGAATGGTAGTGCCAGCCCCAGGGATTTCGGCAGCCTGTGGGGAGACAGCATTCGTTTCTGCCTCAGCAGGGGACACTTGAGTCAGCCAGCCTCTGGGGTGCGACAGAGACCGCTCCTGGTGATTCACAACGCAGTTTTGGGGCCTTCTGACCCTCTTGCTTCTTTACAAGGGCTCCTCAGGGGACCCGTGCGTCCATTCAGACCACGGCATAAAAGGGAGCCTCAGAGGGGCGCCTGGGTGGCTCAGTCGGTTGAGCGTCTGACCTCGGCTCAGGTCACGATCTCGCGGTTTGGGAGTTCGAGCCCCGCGTCGGGCTCTGTGCTGACCGCTCAGAGCCTGCAGCCTGCTTCCGATTCTGCGTCTCCCTCTCTCTCTGCCCCTCCCCCACTCATGCTCTGTCTCTGTCAAAAATAAATTTAAAAAATAAAAAATAAACTCCTAACTGGGTTTATAGAAAAAAAAAAAAAAAGAAAGAAAGAAAGAAAGAAAGAAAGAAAGAAAGAAAGAAAGAAAGAAAGAAAGAAAGAAAGAAAGAAAGAAATGGAGCCTCAGGGGTTTAGGGCAGCGGGCCCCAGGAGACAGTCAGCAGGAGAGGGTAAGAGTGCAAGGATCTCCAGTGGGGCTGGCCCCTGCTCCCAGCACCGCCTGTAACACATGGTGAAGACGAGAAGCTGGTCCTTCACTTAGAAAGGCAGGGGCCTGAAGACCACACACACCCACCAGGCTTGGTCTATGAGAAACACCCTTGAGAACATAAGGCCCGGGTTGGGTCTGATCCAATGATTCGCTCATTCGCAGATTCGCTTCCTTGCTAGTCATTACATAGTAAGTGCCAGGCGTTGTGCAGGGGGCAGGGGTGGGAGGTGAGGAAGGGGACGGTGCTCCTGACACCGGCATCTGCAAAGGCCCTGAGGTTGCGCAGTCTCAGCAGCTGAGAAAGGGCCGGGTGGCAGGCAGTGGTGGGGGTCCAGGAGAGGCCCCAGAACAAAGGGCCTCATGGCCCATGGGGTCAAGCGTGGATTTTATCCTGGGGGGAATGGAAAACCCAGGAGGGTCTCCAGACAGGAGACAGACAGGATTTACCTTCTCTCAAGAGGCTGTGGGGCCACCAGGCGGAAGACGGAAGTGGAGGGAGGCAAGAAGGGGCCAGGGGACAAAGGGGGTGCATGGAGACGCTGCAGCCAAGCTGGAGGTCAGGGAACTACAGCCAGGTGGGCAGAACCAGATGCACTGTAACCATATCCAGGCAACTCCTTATTCAGAGGCACCTTGCAGCTAAAACTGTAAGAAAGAAAAAAAATCCTATGCACCATTACTATTAAAACAGATCATTAACAACTGATGTGTGTGCTCTGTAGGTAGAGGGAGGTCTCGTCTCCATGTTAGGATTCCTCGCTGCAGGACTCAGCCGCCACGCCCCCGTAACTCGTGCCGCTGGGGCAGCCTGGTCCCACATGCTCGCCTCACCCCATTCACCCATCCGTACTGAGCAGCTCACTGTGGGCCAGACCCTGGGCTAATCCACTTACCCAGAGTGTGGACGGCAGAATGCTAATCCCCCGGGGCTCCTGACCCTTGGCTACTCAATCACACACCCCTCTAGGCACTGCTCTGGAGGCTTTAGCAGACGGAATCAGGGCTACAATCGACAGACGTGAAGACAGGGAGATTATCCTGGATCATCCGGATGGCCCAGGGCAATCACAGGAACCCTTCAAAGCAGAGGGGAAGGCAGGAGAGGAAGAGAGAGGGGGCAGAGGGGAGGGAAGAGGGACGTGGAGTCTGTGAGAGGGTCTCGCCCACCACCCCCCCACCCCACCCCGGCCTGCTGGCCTCAAGGAAGCACAAGCTGGGGAGCAACGCAGAGGCCTCCAGAAGCCAACAGCCAGCAAGAAAGCAGGGACCTCGGTCCTACAACCCACGGAAATGAAATCTGCCAGGAACCCGCATGAGCAGGAAGCAGATTCTCCCCCAGAGCTCCAGGAACCAGCACAGGCCTGCAGATACCTGATTTTGCCCTGTTGGGACCCAGGGTAGGGGCTCGGTCGAGCCCACCGGACTCAGACCCACAAAAGGTGGTGAAAATAAATAGGTGTTGTTCTAGGCTGCGAAGTTCACGGTGATTTGTTTCAGCAGCCGTAGAAAACAAATACACACATCTTCTCTTTCATCCTCCCGAGTGGCTGAGGACGCTGCCTCTGTGTCACACTGCACTGACCAGGACAGCAAGGCTCGGGCGGGGGAGGTCCCACACACAAGGTCAGGGGTAGAGCGGGAACCAGCCACCCGCCTGAGCCCAAGGCTCCTTCCCCTGCTGTACCCCTCCACCCTGCAGACACGATGCCCAGAAGAGACTTACATTCACGTCCGAGGTCCACTCGAGACTCGGACAAAGGGAATACACCACAGAGGAGGACAGGCATAGAGGACCCCTGTGACACCCCACCTGCGGGGCACACAGCGTCCGGGTGTGGAGCACGGCTCTTCCCTGCCACCAGCCTCCTCGTTTCCAAAGCAGGCACCTCCAAGGGGCAGCGGGAAGTGGGTCATCCGTTAAGGACTCCCGAATGAGGCACTAAGAGCTAGTCCTGTCTTCCAGAACAGAAGGAAGAGAGCGTAAATTTCGAGAGTGGGCTAGCAAACGGCTGGGCACCCAGAGTCTGCCGAAGCCGACTGCCCAGGTTCAAGGGCAGCACCACCAGCGGTGAGGTCTTGGGCAAGTTCCTCGGTCCCCCCAAGACCCTGTTTTCCTCCTCTGTGGCGTGAGGTCACAGCTCCCACACAGATGAACGAGGTCAGCACTCAGCCTGGAGTCTGGCCCTGGCCAGCGTGATGACCGCTGTCCCTGCAGGGTGACTTCCCTCTGGTCCCACGCTCTGGGGACTCCCACGAAAACCCAGTGCAAGCATTAAGGGTGAAGCTTTTGCAGTTTCACCCGCGGCCATAATTCTCCACGTTGAAATCACTTGAATCTACACTTAGGAGAGATATTTCTTCTTATTTTTTTTTATCATCCTGATGTTTAACCGAGAGGTAAAAATCTGCCATGATTTTTTGTGCATCATAGCAGGAAAAAAGCACAGACAGCAAAGTCACTAAAACAAAAATAGAATGGAAATTTGCAGCAAGCCTCGGACATCTTCATTAGCTGAGTGAGCGTGAATTACAGCAGTTAAAGAGATTCACGGACGACGGATCCCGCTCAGCTCACACGGCGGTTCTGGACGCTCACAAGCGGGAGATACAGTTCTTATCCTGTCTAAGCAGCCTATTTTTAGTTCTTGCTCTTTGGGGAAGCGGCAGAGAACTACCGTGAAAACCTGTGATGCACAGTCCTCAGCCAGCAGGACACCTGTCCACCTTCCGAGAGACCAGGCCTGGGGCGGAAGGAATGGGTCGGGGTGCACAGGGTGCGACAAGGAAAGGCAGGGACGCTTTGATTAGGTAACTCATATACAGGGCACGGGGACCGTCCCGGAGAGTAGGGCCCCTGTAGGTCTACACACCCCCAGTGCAAGTT